AGAGTCCGCGCACTTTAACCACTACACCAAACTGTCTCTCTTTAGTGGTGTGTACCTAAAATTATAATCTGTGAGTGAGCCAAATTTGGAAACCAAAAGTGGTGCAGATGAGGACAGCAGTGCCGGCTGCTCTTGCCTGTCAGGGTCTGCTTTGGCACAGCCCCGACTTGCTGCCGCAGAATGTCCCCGAAGGGGCCCGTGCTGTTGAGTTCGGCTGTGGGGCTTTGGCAGTGTTTGACCCCAGCGTAGGACCTGCATCCTGCCATGATCCTGCAAATGCTTCTCACTTCCCAACTCACTCATCTGAAGGATTCATAGAATCATAGAATGTTAGAGTCAGAAGGGACCTTGCAGGTCATCCAGTCCAACCCCCTGCACTCTGCAGGAGCATAGACAAAAGATAGCCCTACAACAGACCCGAAAGATGGTCCTCCAGCCTCCACTTGAAAACGTCCAGCAAAGGAGCATCCACCACCTCCCGAGGCAGACTGTTCCACTGCTCAACCACCCTGACAGTTAGGAGGTTTCTCCTGACATTTAGCCGGTAATGACTCCCTTGTCATTCCCACCCATTAGATCTAGTCTTGCAATCTGGAGCAAGAGAGAATAGATCCACTCCATCTTCTTCATGACAGCCCTTCAGTTACTTGAAGACTGCAATCGTGTCCCCTCTAAGCCGTCTCTTTCCCAGGCTAAACAGACCCAACTCTTTCACCCTTTCCTTGTAAGACTTGGACTCCAACCCTCTTACCATCCTGGTTGCCCTCTTCGGGACACGCTCGAGCTTGTCAACATCCTTCCTAAAATGGGGTGCCCAAAACTGGACACAGGACTCCAGGTGGGGCCTGACCATAGCAGAATAGAGGTGAACTACCACCTCCCTTGATCTGGATACCATGCTTCTGTTAATGCATCCCAAGATTGCATTAGCTTTCTTCGCAGTCACATCACACTGCAGGCTCATGTTTAGCTTGTGATCAACCAGAACACCCAGATCCCTTTCACATATGCTGCCGTCAAGCCAAGTCCCTCCCATTCTGTAATGGGATTTCCCCATTCACACAATTATCCAGCAGCCCGGAGGGTACCAGACTGCAGATGGTAAAACTGTGTGCATGTGGGGGAGGTGGTCTCGGACTCACTGGCCCATGTACCTTGGCTGTGTGCATCGGTCCCTCCCCCCTTGATGCCTCACCCTCTGCCCTTGTTACACCAGCAAGGAGGAGGGCGAGGCACATGTCACACCCTCTCTCTCTCGCAAGCTGAATGGTTGCTGGCATTTTGCTCCCTGCAGAAGCACCCGGCGCCTGCCAACTGGCCCCTGGAGGAGGCACGGCGACTCTTCCTGCAGCCGAAGGTGGCCGAGCCAAGCCAGGTGGTGTTGGAGTGGAAAGAACCGGACGAGGCTCGGCTGGTGCAGTTTCTTGCTCACGAGAAGCACATGAAGTGAGTGTTGACATAAGAAGAGCCCTGCTGGGTCAGACCGTGCGTCCATCTATCCAGTCCAACGTTCCGTTCACACAGATGGCCAATCAGCTGCCTCTAGGAAGCTCTTGAGCAGGATGAGTGCAACAGCACCCTCCCT